GAGTAGGGAAATATTCTATCACCTTACCTAAACCCAAACTTGACGTTTCTGCGAACTAATCCTATATAGTCAAGCGGGATTGTGCCGTGCTTGGTCCTGGGCTTAAGCACGCGGGCTCACACACAAAACATGGATTTGGGTTGCGGAGCGAGTTGGCTTCAATCACTCCTGTCATTTTCCTTTTAAACGGTTACTGAAAAAATCTCCCCCTGTACTCAGTATTTGGTGCCCTCTATATGTATATCGGTCGCGGGTTTATATAGCATCATACCTTGAAATTCGAAGCTTTAGGAATGCAATTTATGCTCTATTAAAGGTATCATACATACAAATCCCGAAGTTGATCAAGACGCAATACCATATAACCCAGGGTTTGGGCTGAATGGTTCTCGAGTGATGATAGCATGAGTTTGTAGCCTGTTCATCTAGTGCAATGCAGAAGTACACAGTAGCCACTCTCGCGCGTTTCGTAGGTTTAGACATATTGCCAAAGAGGCGTTTCGTTGACTATGAGTCGCTTATGCTGTGCTAGCCCTTAGGGACTGTTTCTTTTCAGAATATAACTGCAACCAGAATAGCAAATCAAACTAAACATTTTAGGATTAAGTAGGTTGATGTGGGATAATGATATCTGATGCATAACACATTCACTGCTTTTATGCTGCCTCCACCTACGGTGCGTGCTCCTTGATCGCTGTAGCCCCTTCACATCATTTGTAGCTGCTTCACTACAATTATTGCTTCCCTATGAGTGTAAAATAACCAGAACTCTATAATATCTGTGGCGTCAGCGCAGACGTCGGCAGACAAGACCGCACAATTCCTCTAAACGATGCTTACAAATCAACCTAGCCCTATTCGACCAAACGAACTCAGCTGCTGACTATAGAACCAGCAGGCGTATCCCTGTATATCTAACTCCGTCTCGTACGCTACCAGACCGGTGAGCGCTCTAGCGTTCCCATGGCCCAGCCAACCACCAACGGGTATCAGCGTATTCCTCAGGATTAGCTTTATTCTGACTTTGAGAGTCAGAATACAGAAAGTCGGAGAGTATAGTTTACTCCAGTAAGATCTTCTCATATCCTTAAAGAGCTACGGTAGATTAACAATGCCTATGCGTATACTATTATATTGGTAGTTATTCTGAAATGAAACAACTC